CTGTCCATTATCTGTATCTGTACCAAGTTTCTCAGCAATCCATTCATTAATTTATGAGCTATTTTAGTTTGTACCAAAATAGTGTAACGGCCTTGACGTTCCCATCCCAGTTTCAGCTTTGCTTTTAGTTGCATGTTGCTGTCTTCATCAGACACTCTGCACAGTTGACATCACGTAACCTACGAAAGGTTTGGAATTTGTCTCAGCTGTTAACTTCATTTACTGAGGTCAAGTTGAGTTAATTTCACTGAAATATGTAATTCTTGTTTTCGTCACATGGCTCCTGTGCAATTCATAACTATATCTTAAAAAGTATCTTCACTATTATCACGAGACCTTTACTAAATATACACATGGACACAAATTAAAATGCACAGTGACTTGACTTGAAGGTATGTAGAAATTTCAGTCCTGAAACAATGGCGTCTGTGTCAAGTAGATTTAATAGAGTGATATTCTGCTTCAGATGTTGAGTACCCGATGTCAGCGGTGAAATCGTGGCTTCCCAAGCGTGGACCAGACAGTGGAGAGAAACTGAAGGAAGGGGCTTGAAAGCAGATAGAGACAGAAGGAGTTGAAGAGGAAAAACTGTGCTGTAATCCCTATCGTGACTGACATCCCCGTCTCCTCCCGGCCTGGCTGCTGGCCTTCATGATCAGGGCTGTCAGTGGAAGTACAGTCTATTGTGTATTCTCCCTTTGTACCGCTGTCATTTATTACACAAACACAGACACAACAGCTGGGTAAACTATCCACCAACCCCGGGTTCACTTCAAGCTTTCTGTCTTTCTTTTACTCTTTCAATCACGTACACAGACCCACTCTGAATCCATCACTCACCGCGGCAAAGTCCACACACACAGACCGCCAACAAACATAAACATGCTCAGCCTCGATCTTATCCAGACAGAAATAGCTCCCCGGAGGTTTGGTCTGAGGGTTTGTCAGCTGGATGGAGTTGTCTGATCCGCTGGTATCAACTGAAGTACACAGTAGACTGGTACACAGCGCTGCAGGGTGGAATACTAACACTGTGGGCGTTTGTATGTGTGGTCTCATGTTTATGATATTTACGGCCTGGAGGAGGGTGTAGCTGTGATGCTGCATTGGAAAGGAGGAGAGGAGAGGAGAGGAGAGGAGAGGAGAGGAGAGGAGGATTCGATGGTATCTTAGTAACCTGCTCCTGTTATTGACTCCATTTTGTAGCCCTTTGTGTTCCGCTCCTCGAGGCAGACGGAGAGGGAGAAGAAAATAAAAGATAGGACAGAGGAGAGAGGAATGCAGACAAGAGAGGGATCTGATGCTATCATGGTAACCTTGTCCTTTTGTTGGCTCCGTTGTGCTACCGTCCTAATTCCTCCCTCCACCTGAGACAGGCCACCACGGGAAGGATAAAACCTCTCCAGCATCACGGCAGCTCAGCACCGCACAGGAGCAAACGTGACCAAAACCACTTTAAGTAACGGGATGTTTTTGTCCAAAACCATTTGTAATAATTGATTATTGTGGCAGGGATAGTATAATATAAAATGTCAATGTCAGTATTAGCTCCTGCTAATGCATTCCTATCACATACATTATTTGCACTTTGAACCGTCTGAAGCGACAGACGGCGCTGTTATTGGCTTACGTTTGAGTTTGCAGAAACATCAAACACTCCTGGGGAAAGTGGGTGTAATTAATGTCAACTGAGTCATTCCACATATCTGATAGAGGCTTTTTTTTTTTCTAAATGATTCAACATTTTGGAAAACTGTCAATAGTGAGATTTGCTAATTGCATTGTTGCAAATCTCAGTTTTGATTTGAAATCGATTTTTTGTTCAGCCCTACAAGGTTGACTACCAGCACCTCTAAAGATCACTAATTAACATGTTGAATTAGTTTGATACCCACATAAATACCATGTTTCCATGTTTGCTATGCTAAGCTGAGCTGCTATTGGCTACACTCTTTAAATGAATGGACAGGGATGAGAGTGTCATTCATCCTCTCGTCTAACACTTTCCAAGATAGCAAATAAGTGTACAGTCGTGACTCGATAATCCGACCCTTAACAATCTTAAACTTTGCTAGCTGACAGGTTTTTAGGAAAAAGCAATAGAACCCATAAAAATATCCTTAACATATCGACAGCCTTGGATTCTGACTCCAACATGACATTTTATGTCACAAATCAGGATAACGGCGTATTATCTGACTAAACAATCCCACAGATTGGCTACGGTCAGACTGCAGGACTTCAGATTTTTTTGTGAAATCCGTTTTTTTTGCGAGTTCGTTCACATTTCCAATTAAATACGACTTGTATCTGATCTGCTGTGTGAACTTCATACGACCCAAAAGTGTCCCGCATGCTCAGAAGAGGACACGACGACGTCACACACAGCGAGCGTGCTCAGTGTTTACGGAAGTAAAGATGGATGGTGGCAGTGGTGGGGAAGTGGCGCTGCCACCGCTGTCGCCACCACCGATGGTGGAAACAGAACTGCGACCGCTATCCTAAACTAGCATCAGCAGCCAAGTACTGCCTGTGTGTTTCGGCCACTTCCACGCTGTCGGAGCGCTTCCCCGGGATGGAAGTGTCCCCCGACCGCGCCGAATATTCGGATATTCATCATTAATTGGGCCTGAATATCCAGAGAGCAGAAAGTGCTGTTCAGACCAGCCCTACTAGTTATTAGAACAACTATGAACAATAATTAACAACAAATGAGCCTTCCAGCATCAAGCCCTCCTTGTATCTCGACCTCCGTCTTGACAATCCGACAGTCTTGCTATCCGACATAAAAGAAGGTTTTACATTTAGTGTCGGATTATCGAGTCACGACTGTATTTTCAAAGATTCTGGCCCATTAACAAACTTGTACCTTATCAGTACTGGGCTATTGATGTAACAAACACTTATTGAAACAGGACGTAACTTCTATTTAGCTAGTCACCTTGTAGAAAACATGGACAAACTACTAGACATGAATTATTCCTGTTCAGTATCTTTTAGTTGCAGAACATCAGAGAAAGGGCAATTTTTCTGCCACCTAACACCATCATTTAAAAGAAAACCCAGAGGCCCATTAATGAATACTGTTTGAGGAAGACGTGAGGGATTATTCATAATACTCTCCTGCAGGGTTGTTGTGACAATATGGACTGGAAGCATCGAGCTGAAGGGATTTCAGTATTCATAAATTACCCGGTCAGCCTGGATATACCATCTGACTACAGCAGGTGGTATTCTTTTGGGCTATTAATGGCTTTTATGAAATCCTCACAAAACATGCAAATGGAGACCATGGCGATGGTGCACACTTACAAAACCCAGCGGGGAGTTCAGATTAGTGAATGAAACAACGCGTTCAACAGCACTCGGCATGAGAAGTACGAGCAGTATTAGGATGGGCCATTGGATCTTTGCAAACAGTCTTTGTAAAGACAAACGAAGAACAGCCAGAGGGAATCTTTGGATTTCTTAGATTCCTTCCTGTAATATAATATTTTAAGGACTTTCTCATACGATGTGAAGTGCCTTGAGATAAATTATGCTGTAAGTTGATGATAAATCAAACAGAATTAAACGGACTAAAATCACAATGTGTTCCATGTCGACTCCAAAAAAAATGCAGTTAAACTAATAAATCTGTTTTTTTAACAGATGGAATTTCCAGATATGTTTTATAATATCATCATAACTGGCTCCAGCTTCCCCCCAGTGTCAGAATGTCGTGCTTTCTTTCTGTTTTCATCACAATATTAATTGAATGCTTTCAGGTTATGAACTCTTAGTCACACACAGAGGATCTAAAATTGGAGAAACTGTGATGTGTGTTTTTCATCGTATTTCATCGAATATTATAGACAACACTGCTGAATCAATTCAAACTCATTTATAGATGAAAAAAATAATCGAGACAAACCCACCAAGTCCTAACAGTTACCTTTAAACAAGCTCTTTACGGATAACTGGTAAAACATTGACTTGGTTCTTATATATTCGTTTTCATCCATCCATTATCTATACACCACTTAATCCTCACTAGGGGGGCTGGAGTCTATCCCAGCTGACTCAGGGTGAAGGCAGGTTCACCTGGACAGGTCACCAGTCTATCAAAGGGCTACACTTAGAGACAGACAACCAAGCACACTCACATTCACACCTACGGACAATTTAGAATCACCAATTAACCTCACGTCTTGGGAGGAAGTTGGAGCTCCCAGTGAGAACCAATACAGGCAGATAAGAAAGATCCCAGGCCGGGAATCAAACCCAGGATAGCTGTGAGGCGACAGTGTTAACCACTACTCTGTTTCCATGACACCCTTGATAAAATTATATTATCAGACCACATGAATGCCTAAATCTTTCTTTCATCTTGTCATTCGACTTTTGTTGTTGTCAGGTTTTCTTAAGACAAACACGCGTACAGCCGTTCAAAATGGTTAAACAGCAAACATACTGTATATGTACACTCCAGCAGAACATGCTGTGTTTAATCAAGTGATTCTCATGAACTGCCTTCAGTAACATGCCTTAGTGCTCTCAACATATATAGACATACATTTTCCCTGAGTCAGCTGGGATAGACTCCAGCCCCCCTAGTGAGGATTAAGCGGTGTATAGATGATGGATGTTTTGGTGTCTATGTTAGCGGTGTACCTCCTAAAGTACAAGAACAAGAGAACTGGATATTAAAGTTAAATTGCCATTGCAGTAATGAACAGTCTTATTGCACATCACAGATTTTCCTAACATTGTTTAGGCATAATTTAAATGTGTTGCTGCTTCTTTTGTCAATGAATTGTTTCAGAATGTGTGTCTCCAGTATAAAATGTTGTCTTCAACACTGTATCCTATTTAATGACTTAATTGTAAGCATCCTACAGAATCGCCAATCCAATGCCTCATTTTCACCCCGTGTTCTCTTACGTCCTCCTCTCCAGCTCTTCTCCATCGTGATCTTCGGCTGCATCGCCAACGAGGGCTACATCAACCGCCCCAATGACGCGGAGGAGCACTGCATCTTCAACCACAACCAAAACGCCTGTAATTATGGCGTCTTCATGGGCTCCATGGCCTTTCTCTGTTGCGTGGCCTTCCTGGCTCTGGACGTCTACTTCCCCCAGATCAGCAGCGTCAAAGACCGCAAGAAGGCCGTGCTGGCTGATATTGGGGTGTCAGGTAAACCCATTATCTATTCACACCTCATATTTATGATCAATACCAACATAGAACATTTAAAAGTTTTTCTGAAGCAACTTATTCTCTGTTGTATTTTTTTTAACACCTGTGTACGTAGTTACTGACATAGTCTATACAAAGATGGATGAAATCTCCAAGCTGTCACCCATAAGTATTCTTAACAGCTCAGTGTGGTGACTCCAGCCATCACCATGTTGGCAGTGTTTGACTCCTCTAAACCCCTGGTCAAGCCAAAAATGAGCAAAGAGGGGGAACTTTAATTGTGGTACACCGTACAAACCTCTCTGGAACATGAACTATGAAGTCACTCACCTGACATTCACACCATCCATATTTATGCATAATTCTAAGACAGCATACAATTTAAACAGGTGAGTTATAAAAACATTCACCTCTCGTCATGTACAGGGAAATGAGCTACAGAGTCTAACCCCAGGCTGTTGACATGTTTTTTCTGCTGAGGGTTTACGGCAGGGGTGTCCAATCCTGGTCCTCGAGGGCCACAATCCTGCATGTTTTAGAGGTTTCCCTCTTCCAACACACCTGATTCAAATGATCAGGATCATTATCACACTTCTGCGGAGCTTGATGATGAGCTGATCATTTGAATCAGGTGTGTTGGAAGAGGGAAACATCTAAAACATGCAGGATTGTGGCTCTCGAGGACCAGGATTGGACACCCCTGGTTTAACGGGAGTGGTTTGCTTTTGCAGACGGTCTCAAGTGGCCATTTGCGGAACTGCAGTTTTTGCCATTTCTGTGTTTGGCTTCATTTTTCAGCCTCAAGGTTGCTGCTTGGCTGTAAAGCTTTCCTTCCTGAATTCACATCCCACATACACTCTACAGAGCAGAAAAGGAAAGAATACAAACAAATATTTAATGTGTAGCCTGAACAGATTCACAAAGTCCTGAACACTTTGGTCAGTCAAACAGGTCCCCAACTCTCAGCATTTCACATTTTATATGTTCTTTTAGTAACCAAAGGGACACCAGATAGCTTCTCCTACTTGTATGAAGGTGACACAACATTGACTTCATAGTGTACTTACCCACAGTTAGTTACAGGTGCATTAAAAACAGTAACATGCCATAAGTTTGGAGAAGCAGACAGGAAGACCAGCACAGTCACTAAACAAGGAACTTCGGTTTTCATTTCAGCCCCTTAAAACCTTTGAATCTGCTTTTATGAAGCAAGAAGGTCTTATTTGGAGTCAGGTCTGGGACTGAGACTCAGGACTCATATTGGAAGCATCACACTTTGAATTAAGAGTATTAAACGCATTTCTCATAATAAAATGCACTCAGGAGCTTATGTCTGATATCTAATGCAGGTACAAGGCTTTAGCTGTTGCACAATCTAAGCATCTGTGGGAGGTGGTAACATGAGCTGATCAAAAACTGGCACCTATCGCTGCCTGCTGTGTCGATCAGAACAAAGGAGAAGTGATTATAGATGTGCAGAGTTTATATTAGAACCGTTGCATATACCAGAGTAATGTAACAGCACACGCTTTCATACAGTCGCTCGTTCATTCTCCTTAAAGGCACTAACGGTGTTCAGCTACACATGAAAGAAACACTAAATTAGTGGATATCTCAAAAAAATTCCGCCTTGAAACTTTTTTATTTTCCATCCACCTCGCTGGTAAATATTCTCATTATCATGTACGGTTTGTCTTCATCATGTACGTTAGGAAAGTTGACTCACTTTCCGCTTGTCCACACCAATTTTGTACCACCAGCAGGGATGTAACGGTACAGAAATAAACAGCTCCTCAGTTTTGACGTCATGGTTCAGTTTGTTTTCGGTGCAGCAAAACAAGAAATCAGATGTTAAATTGCTTCTTTTTACCCATTCCATTAGGAGGTGAGTTTGTGTCACTTTTTTTTCTTGTACCACTGACGTCGTCTCTAATAAGTGAGCTCAGCATGCATCCAGCTACATACAAGATTCCATTTGACCAATGCCAACGTATAGGTTTTGTCTCCTTTCTTTGTCCATCGACGTTGTGGTTAACTGAGGAACCATGGCCTTCCTGAACAGCTGACTTTAAAAATAGTGGAGGCTCTTTAACCCCTCGAAGTTTGGTGAACGCAGAGTTTCAAATTGAGTTTCGCAACCAAAAAAACTGTGTGCAATGGCTGTTTTATCCGGTATCAATATTAGCCCTACGAGCTACGCTGCATGTTTTGTGGCGGGGTACCGGGGTCAAGGTGCTGTTCTTGTTGGTACATGAGGTTAAGATAAGGATAAATGCAATATCATTCTCTTTCTTCAGCTGATTATTAAAATTCCCAACCGTCTGAAGAAATGTAAGCACCTTTTTCAATATATGAAAGAAAATGACATGTCTTGCATTTGTAGTTTGGTTTTCAGCACAACAAAAGGAGAGGAGGTGTGTGAGGGATAATAAGACAAGTGCTTCTCTGGCACTAACAAGCCTGTGAGACATTGTGCTTTGGTGTGTCTGACAGGGGCTTCCTCTGCCTCTCTGCTGCACTGCTACTGCAGTGAACTCAGACATAATGACAAGATAGTCAAGCGTTGAGTCAGTTAATGAGGTGGTTCCTGTCACAGACAAGATTCTCTTTCCATGTTTTCATCACTCACACACTTTTTGTCTCGCTCTCTTTCTCCCCCCCCTTATCCATGTTGTAATACAAGATGGTTTGTACGTTCGTGAAGCAAGAGAACAGCTGCTATCCTGATCGGACCTGGCTGTTTCTGATTAAGCTTTATATATTTCCTCTCTCATCGCCGCACTTCCTGCTCTCCTAATATCTCCCTCCTCTTCTGACCGACCAGCAGGAAAAAGAACCATAATGCTGTTTGACACAGGCGCTCCACAGGGTTCAATGCTGGGTCCTTTGTTGTTCTTTGTTGATTGTTTCCACTTTTTCAGTGCTATGCTGATGATATACAGATTATTCCCCACTCTAGACCTCCGAC